GCAGAGGTTGCAACGGTGGAGCCCCGAGCAAGGAAGGGTTTTAATATTTTATCGCTGCGTTTCCTTCCCGAGTGAGCGCACTGCGCCTGGGCACGGTCTCCCTGAGAGAAGGGGCAGCGAGGGCACAGCCAACTTCCCGAGGAGCAAGAAAGAGTCTGGCTCCAAGGGAAAAAAATGGAAAACCGAAAATAAACCACCCCGTAGCTAGTACACAGCTCCTAAGCGACTGCTAGTTGGCTGTGGGTAGCCTTAAAGGTTTCAGGTCACTGGCAAATAGGAAAATCGAGCGATGACGAACGAGTTTCAGTCTGGCAAAGTATGTTGTGCTATGTAGGGCACTGGCTGGGCAGTGGTTTTGGGTAATGAAACCGCAGCTGGATGGACAACACCAGCCCCTGGCAGAGATTTGTCTTTGGAAGGCAGAGGCAGCCTTAAACCTTACTGATGGGTTTGAGAGTTGAGTAAGGCTGTGGAAGCGAGGTGTTCTCCATTCACTTCTTTCTTCTCCTGCCTCTGCATGGTCTCACGCTCCCTGAGCGCAGGAGGGATGCTTTGGTAGGGCATCTGTCTGCCTCTGTGGTGAGGTGGGAGATGCAGCCTCTAACTTCACCAGTAGGGCAGCTAAACAGAAGCAACCTGTTTTGTGTGCAAAACTGGACCTAGGCACGGTATTTGGTAGAGGAGGGAAGCGTGAATGGTTTTCTACTTGGAGGAGAAATTAATTAAATAGTTTACATTGCTGTATATTATATAGGTGGAGACCACCCTTTGCTGAGCAGACTTAAGTACTTCAAATCAATCTTCAAAACTATATTAAAACAGTTCTTGAAGATTCCTTGCATAACCTATCGCTAGTCATCTTTCATTAGGATGTATAAAAACTGAGCTGTAGAGGAGCTTTGCATTCTTCTGGGTGGACTTTTAGCAAGTATTTTACATGACTTTTAAATCTCCTTTCAAAGAAAAATGGATGTACTGATTTTCAAAATAGTAGAAATTCCTTATTGTTATTATCAAGACTATTAAATAGCCTGTTCTGCTCAGAAACAGATTTTTAGGTGCCTAATTATTTGTGTGCGTTTGTGATACTCATAATGTTTTGGGGTTTTTGTGTGTGTGTGTGTGTTATGATGAGGTTGCTGTATAGAACAGTGCTCTAATTCAGATCAGTGTTCCAAACTAATCCCTGGTGTAATACCACTGATCTATGTGGAATAATGCCAGGGATGAATTGGATGTTGTACATCATGATTTTTTGTTTTGATTTTTAGTCTTCCGGCTTACAATGTTGTGAAAAGTAAAACAGTTAGTTAATTACTTAAACTGATACAGTTAATTGAAAATGTATGTTTTTGCTTGATGGTTTTGGGTGTGGTGGTTTTTTTTTTACTTCTGAGTATAAAAAATGAGAGAAAAGTACGTTGAAAAGATGGGGAGCATATTTTCACTTGGGTTGCTTGTTATGCACTTAGCAACCTTTTTGTTTAACAATTTTATACATTTTTGTATGAAATATAGCAACATGGAGACAAACTTAAAAAAATCACCAAAACGGGAAGAGAAACAAGCAAAATACAATGCCTGAAGTAATGCTTTAGTTTCTTTGGGTTTTTTTGTTTTTTGTGGTTTTTTTTTTTAAACTGACTAAATGTCCAATTGATGGAGACCATTGATAAAACAATACATTATTATTATTATTATTATTATTATTATTATTATTAAATGTGGTTGGATTGGGTGCTTGCTGTTGCTTTGCCGGACTGCTGCACAAGAAGCCATTGAAGGGAGAGGAAACCTTGGAAGCCTTAGTGCTCTGCACCAGGGGTGAGAAGAGTGGACAGGGTTACTGGCTGTAGGCTCTCCAACAGGATTTGCCAGGACTGTATTCCTTCCTCGCTCATAAACAGAGCTTAATACACAAAGAGAAGAGCAGTCATTCTTCAATTTATTCCTTGCCACGTGTCGCCATGAACCCTAGAAAGGAGGTAGTTTTTGTTGGGAGGTTGCTGATTTCAAGAGCTGTCTTGGACAATGTCCAACCCTGGGCTGTGCCTTACAGACAAAAATATAAAGGCAAAAAACTTTGGAGAGCCTATTCTGGTTTTGGCCAGTGTCTGAGACTTAATTTGGTGTTAGCGGAGAAGAAACCTAGTTTTCTGTTCCACTGGAAAAAGCCCTAGCTGCATCTGCACTTGTTAGGCACAGCATCAGCATCTGCAACCAGCAACTGTATTAGTTGTTGGTCTGTAATTCTATAGCAGCCACACAAACTTCTCTTTCACCATTTCTCCTGAGGACTTGTGGACATACCTGTTTTCTAATAATGGTAGATAGCAAAGCGATTGGAAAAATATGTAAGGATATATACATTCCGCCCATTTCCTTAGGTCATATGTAGCTGAATGAGTTTCTCACCGAGAGCTACTAAGGAATGTTTGAAGGCCAAAAGTGGCCTTTAACCTGTGGTTTGTGGAACAGATTTCAGGTCTGTTTCTAGTATCTCTCAAACTTCGGTAGGTATTTTGAGCTGAAATGACCACCTATCACTTTTTTAAAAAATTGAAATTATTTTTTCTTAAACATTACTGCAGATGAAATTCACCTTGGATACTACACATATATTTACTTAATTTATGGATTTCTTAATATCTAGAGATGGATTAGTTGTTGCAGACTAGTTCTTATTGAAGAACCAGAGGTCGTTTGAAACTGCTTACCAGGAAATAATGCTTCAGCCTTTGGCAACATGTCCTGACAAGTACAGAGACAGACTTTCCTTCTTGGTATGCATAATTCCTATAAAAACCATGAGGTTCTTTGCCCCCAGTGGTGTGCAAGCTCTCATGTATGCAATGACAGCTTCATTTGTCTACATGGCCCATTACAACAAGGCCAGAATTTAACTTGCACCTTGCATTGGTGGCTTAGTTCTGAAAAGTGCTCACAGATCCGTTCCACATGCCTGTTACAAATCCTATCTCTTAATGGTCAATAAAAGGAGTAACTTTTAAAGTGGTATTGAAAAGGCTCTACCACAGTGTACCACAAACTTTTCCCTTTTTTCCTCCTGATAGCTTGGCTCCATGCCTGAAGGCTAACAGGGATCTTTAAGCTATTGAAGCTCTCACCTTAGCACATGTGAGGGTGACTTGGGTCAGTTAATGTGACAGGAAATGCATATGCAGTTTGGGAAAGAGGCTCAAACTCTTTTGCTGCTTAGTTTCAAGCTGCCATAGAGGACCGCTGATTAATTACCTGTTGGTGCGCGATAGCTGATGGCCTTCACAAAAGCTGCTTCTAGGTGGAGACAGGATACTAGAAGTAAGGAGACCTTTGCTTCACATGGCTGTAGGTAACACAACAGACCTGTTAGCTGGTCCCTATATGAGGAAAGGGTGCGATTTACATTTTTAAGCTTTTGTCTTTTTTTTTTGTGGTTCACTGTATCTCTCGGTACTGTTGTGTAATACAGGATTGCCTGTGCATGCTATTACTATTTTTTTCTTCTGTAGAATCTAATTGGTCTTAATGGATTTTACATTTAACATCTGCTATGCAATCTGACTTATGGGTGTTGAGAGCATCATGCTCAGCTAGAAGCTTTCTGTGCTGAACTGACATGTTTATTGTAAGAAGAATGCAGTAATACTTCGTGGAAAAAAAAAAACTTTGACACATATTCTGTTTTGACACTCCTGTTTCACATGTGACATTTTCTGTTTCCTTGTCTCCTGTTTTTGTTTGTAACAGGTGACATTTGCATGAATTTATGGTGCTTATTTTCCACTTGAAGTCATAGCACTGAGATTACATTGGTTGCTGTGGAAATTGCCATAAACAAGTGATAATAATTTCATAATCAGTGGAGAATAAGCAGTTGGAAGCAATGAACTTTTAGGAAACAATATGGTATTTTGAAAAAAAAAAACCCACAAACAACAATAAAACCAAACTCAACACCCCAACAGCAACAAAAACCACCAACCAACATTGTTTGTCTTTGCAATAAAAAAGAGAAAACAGAAGGTGGCACTTGAAACATGGGGAACAAACAAATACATAAAATACTTTGAGATGTTAATTGCTCTGTGAATGCTAAATCCTGTTCGACATCCCACTGGGATAGCGAGGAGATGGTGGGTCGGCAGATAACCCTAAACTGCTCTTCTGAGGGCAGAGTGGTATAAGAGCCATCCTGCAGGTGGTTTCTATGACCATGCCAAGCTGCTCTCCATCCATCACTGCTTATTTGGTGGAGTTTTTGCTACATGGAATGTGTCTGTGCTATTTTATATGGAACAAATGT